CCTAAAGGAGGTACAAATACTTCGTTGACTAGTTCAATTTAACAGTACTTGCAATTATTCATCTTTCTTTCTCTTTTTCTTCACATAAAAAGTTATCTACAAAATCACAGTTTCCTAATATGATAATCCAAGGTATGTTGTTCCCATGTGCTGCCATCTAGATAAATTCTCGTTAAAGCTTGCTTCACCACATACTTTCACTGTTTCATCACTGTAAAAATCACGACGTGTTATGAATTTGTGTCAAAACTCAAGGGCCATTTGAGGTCGAAAAAGTAACCAGTGACATGTCAACTTCATCAAAGACGGAGCTCAAGCTGAGTTCCCAGTCAGAAAAATATGTTCTGATTAGCCTAATTACAACCAAAAACACAACTAACTGTGAGACTGTCTCAATTGTCAAAATTCGTTATACAGATTTATTTTGAGCTGATAGTCATAATACAATGCACAGTGAGATGACGTGATTTTCCACTTTCCGTTATGTTTTAAAAAATCATCTATTATCTTTCTAAACATGATATTTTACCGTAAAACTAAAATGGTTTTCTTAAAAAGTGTGTTCGTCTTACAACGGACTTGATAAAGCAAACATTGATTGTGCTGGGATCAAAGTGCAAAAATTGTGTAGGAAAATAGCGAAAAAACACTTCAGATCAGAGCGAATCATTCAGTTGAAGGGTGGTTTTGAATTGCTCTTATAGTCTAAATCCAGAATTCACTCTTGCAGACTAATAATAGACATATACCACATGTTGCAAAAAATTTAGTAATTAATATGGTTAAATCCCCAGTTAAATATAATTTATTATATTTTTTTTTCAGTGATATGCTATCACAATATATATGTTTCTAATATTTCTAGCATATAAACTTAATTGTTGCATCCCGTCATTTTTTATTAGAAAAATATTTATGTAAATTTATCATGTAGCTTTATGGGAATAAAAAATTCATTAAAAATACATATTTTCTATATGTATATTGTAGTTTTATGGAATACAAATTTGGTAATTAATATGATAAAAGCACCATTTAAACATAATTTGTTTATACTTTTTTTTTTTATCAAAGCTACACACATTTGAGTTCTTGAATTCTATCAAATGTTCGGGAATGTCGAATCATGAGTTGCTTTAGAGGGTAAGAACTCCGGTCATGTTGTTGAGGAATATGGATATAATATCTATGGGGTTGTGCAACGGGAATTGATTTGTTGGTACAAAGCTCTCTACTCATGTGCTCGAATGTAAAATTTCACTGGACATCATTCAGGTGAGAAAGTGTTGTTCCGCGGGGGACGCTAATTCCTTATGATGTTAGGATACCTTTCAAATTCCAGCAAAGACAGTGGGACAGTTACCAAGGTTTTTTACACCATGACGATAAACAAGAGTCGAAGTCAATCTTTATCGCATGTTAGTCTATTCGTGAAGAAAGTGTTGTTCAGTCACAGTCAGCTGTATGTAGTTGTTTCATACGTTACTCATCGTAATGGTTTGGAGATTTTAACTTGTGGCGATGACAATGTATAAAAAAACCAAACAAATAATGTTGTGTACAAGGAGGTGTTAATATATATAAGTAATAATTTATTTTATTCCAATAAATGTGTTTTACATTTTGAACAATGATCACATCATCCAAATTAAAATGTTTATCTTAATATTACTAGCTCGTGCATCGCACGGGTACCGCACTAGTTACTATGTAATAAGGCCAAGGATTTACCTAAAATAGTTGGTAAAACCCCACCTAAATATTTCGAAATTAAAAATTTAGAATTTTAAATGAAAATAAGTATAGATTTTATTTCCTTCTTCATAGGGATTAGTTAAAATTATTTAAAGTAACTATTTTATTTCTTTTTTCCTTTTTTTCGCTTTCAATTTCTTAATATGTTGAAAACCTTTTATCATATATTTGTATTATCTATTTACACGTAAATTATCAATTTGTTCTATTTCATGCGGATGTTATTTATTTATTTTTTTTTTTGTTGGAACCTGCAACATATACCGATAATTATTGAGTTGTCCATATTACATGTAGACCCATTTTTTTTTAAAATCCAAATACTGCTACATGATAATTTTTAATTTGTTCCTTCTATGTATATGGGTCATATCTTTACGTTCAATGGTTACATATTTTGATTTTGATTAATCTATATAATATTTTATCCTTCAGGTGATATTACATAATAGAATCCGTGTACATAATTTTTAAGTGAAAATGGAGATAAAGAAGAATAAGATATGTTTTCGAAAGATTTTCTCAAAACTTTACAATATTTATTAATCTGTTATCTAACAAATTTATAAAACAAATACAGACATTCACTCGCTTATTTTAGATACATTAACATGTGAAATTAATTTAAATTTAGTATACTTATGAAGTGATTAAAAAAGCTGAATTATAAAATCTCATTAATATATATTCTTACATTATTTTGATCTAATTGATAAAATAAATGATATCTTTAAAAGTTAAGGCAGTTAATAAATGATAAATGAATGAGAATTTTAAATTAGGAAATACTTTTAAATTTGTGTGTGATCTAAAAAAAATATACATACCAATATTTGTGTGTATACCTTGAAAGGATACATACAAAATCACCTTAAAATCAATATTGGGTTTATTCAACTGCTTAATATGTTCATTTAGTCCAATATTTACTTTTAAAAATAACTTTATATGATCGTTTAGTCCAACATTTAATTTTATAAAATAATCTTACTATATTTGTGTAGTCTTTTTTTTTTCCCGGAACGATAGATGTACTATAAAAAGTACAAAAGTGCAAAGAGAACAAATTACATGACCCCAACAGGGTAATCCCTAAGACCCCAACAGGGTAATGAGACAGGGGCCAACGGCCCAAACCAAAACCACGCCTAATACTCACTCCCGGCTAGCAAAAAAGGAGTGACAGAGCGCTTTAGAAAGAAACTCTGATAGAGAGTACCTAAGTCTCGAAGTAGGAACCTTCCTTTTGTCTTGCAGCCTTCATGCTCAGTTCTATTCTCCCCCGCGTCCCTGCCAATTTATCGAAAGAAAGTGCTATCCACTGAGGGGCAAGCGGAGGAAGTGCAGAAATCGCGTATCCATCTTATCCTCGATGGAGTACAGTGGCTATAGAAAGAAAGGAAGAGTTCGATTGCTTTGCTTGGAGAATAAGATAAAACAATAAGAAAAAGACTAAGGAAATAAATGAGCTTGTTATGGAGTTGAGAATGTTGCCTTAAAGTGGTGCAAATTAATAGTAAAGGCAGTCAAGGCAAAGCCTTGTCAAGGAAGTCATAAAAGAACATGAATAGAAAACTGAGAGGACACGCACATAGCGGCCTAGAGAACTCCACAACCGAAAATAAAGGAAAATAAATTACAGAACCACTGCACAATGCCTAGCCTGTTTCCAAACAAAGACAAACAAACACACTGAACAAAAACTACAACAACCCGAAAAAAAATACACAGAACGAACACACTGAAGAAAATAAAACGACCCTCCCCCGGAGAAACAACTAAGCCGAAAAAGCAGCTACAACTGACCAAAGGATAGGCCCCTAGCCAAACCCCAACCCCCGGAACTGCCGAAGCCTAACAAGAGGTAGGGCCCCGCCCCCGAACCCAACCAAAGGACAGCACCCACTGACCGAGGAGAACAGGCCCAGCCACCCCAACCAGCAGAACCCGAACTAGGCTAACACCACTAGCCCAGGTCGAGAAAACCGGATCCCACGCAACCCAAACTGAGCTGCACCAGGATAGTTGCTACCTGCCCGAACTCCAACTCCGGCAACCACCACATGAGACACACAGCAGCCACCAGAGCCCCACCCAACCACCACCATCGCCGACCCGCCTCCACAGCCGCAGACTCTCAATCGCCCTCCCGCCACTTCAGCCAGCTACCCAGCAGGAAGCCGAGCCCCGGCTAAGCGGCCCAAACCCACACCACCACTCAGAACCACCAACCCTACACCCAAACGGGCCGAAACAAGCCCTGACAGACGACCCCGTCGGAGAAATCGCAGAGCCCCAAATCGAACCCTAACCCCCAAACTCACCGATAATCAAATCCACCAAACAGAACCAAATCAAGATGGAGAACTAACCAATAGACTCCCAATCGCAACGAGCAGCATCGAAGACACCGGATTACAATCGGGAACCGCCGCAGTTCTCCAACCCACCACCAGACGAGAGAGACGAAAGAAAATGCTATGGCTGCAAAACCTAGGAAAAACAACGGCAAGGGGGGAATGGGCGGCCAGCGACGGCCGCAGAAACGGCGTCGCCGTCGCCGGAAGAGGTCAATTCGGTCGAAAGGAGTGGAGCAGCGGGAGGTAAAAGCCGAAGAAAAAATCGCCGAGAGAAGGGTTTTCTCTAACTTCAAAAATGTACTAATCAAACATTTAACTTTAACAAATAACTCTAATATTACTTTCCTGTGCACCGCACAAGATATGTAGTAGTTAATTATTGTCGAAAAAATTATGATTTGTTATAAATATATGAATATAGACATTACTTATCGATAATTAGGCCTGAAGTCCATTAGTTAGGGAAATTAGGTTTTAGGGCTTCTCACTTGTAAACCCTGTAAAAGGGTGATATACGACGAATAAAGGGACATACTTTTCTGCTCTTCTGTCTCTTGTTCTCTCGCTCGTTTCTCTTTACTTTGTTTGGTGTGGATTGATGAATGCTTGAGGATCCTAATTTACAACATGTTATCGGCACGAGTACTCTACCATCTAAGCGAACGGCGGTGGCATCAAGACGAACGGGCAATCAATGTAAAAATCAAGAATTGATGTATGCCCTAGAAAAGA